CCACTATGGACATGGCACTTTCTTGTTGGGGATTCCATTTCATTCTCAGACTCCTCTGAATGTAGGAAGGGAGTCGTGGACAGTCCATATCTCCCAATACCAGATATAAGATCAACTCTCCCCACTGGATATCACATTCTACATTCTGGGTGCTAAAGTATTCAACAAGTGTCCAATTTCATAACAGTTCTTAAGAATAATGCAAGACTCTAAGAAGATAAAGCAATAATGAGTAAGTCAAGGTCCCTGCCATGGCAATAGCAGTTAATTCCTTGGTTCTTGAAGTCAGAAAGATCCAAGTTTGAATACCCAGTCTACTACTTCTTAAGTACATGCCCCTGGGCAAGCTCTGGTTGCATCTGTATAATGCATCTGCATGATGCAACAATAGTAACAGTACCCAACAAAAGATCATTTCAAGAATTAAATGAGAGGCCACATAGTTTAATGTGTCCTTGTAGATTTTCAGTGTTATTATTGGGGTTTTTATTTTTCGTATTGTTATTGTATTCACAATCTCATGAGAAGAGAAGACAAATCATAACTATTTATTAAAACAAAGCAAATGATCAAAGGTGCCAAAATAGAAGTAAAATGTGCTTTGGTGATATGGAGAGAGAAGAGAAATACTGACTAGGGAATTCTGATAAGGCTTTTCATAGGATTGATAGAAAGTCTGATGTATCAGCTTAGGAAACAAGAACTGTAGGTCCAATTTTAATGACCAAAAAGCACAGCAGGAGGCCACAGGATGTAATACAGAAAGTATCAAGTGCAAAGCCCCAGAGTCTCACATTTGCATCTACACTCATCCATTTACTAGATTTAGGATCTTGGACAAGTAATTTAACTTCTTTAAAGTTTAATTTCCATCATTTGTAAATGATGAGAATTCTTATTTGTAATAGTTATTTTACAAATAAAAAGAAATATTTATAAGACACCTAGCACAATAATTACCCAATGCCTAAATTTTAATAATCATATTAATAGAATAAGAAACAAATGGTCTACACACTCTGTCCCTGTTGGGGTGGGGATGAACAGTATTCCTTTCAATAGGACATCAGGATGATCAACTAGTGGCATTTGCCTATAGAAATGACTCTTAGAGTAGCTATACATCACTATGAGAAGTTAGACTTTCCTGGCAGGAAAATGCACGCACACACACACACACAAAATTGCATAAAATAATACTTGCACACCAATGTGTACAATAGCCAAAAGGTGGAAATTGCCCAAATATGTAAATACACATCAACAGATAAACAGATAAACAAAATGTGGTATTTACATACAATGAAATATTTTTCTGTCATAAAAAGAAATTATAGGTCCTGATATATTCTACAACATGCATAGATCTCAAAAACCAAAAACACCATATTGAGTGAAATTACTCACAAAAGGACAAATATGGTATAATCCTATTTTTATGAAATATCTAAATAGGCAGTATATAAAGATCTAAGTTTATTCGTGGATATCAAGGAGAGGGGTGGAGAGAGGAAAATGGAGCTCACTGCTTAGAGGACACTAAGCTTCTGTTAAGGGTGATGGAAAACTTTGGAAATGGATACTGGTGATGGCTGGACAATAAGATGAATGGGATTTATGTCACTGAGTTGTACATGTGAAAAATGTTAGAATGGCAAATGTTTTGTTACATATATTTATTTACCAAAAGAAAAAAAATTGCTTAATGCCAGCAGGTTCTAAGACCTCCCTAAAAAGCTCTCCATGGAGCCTTTGTGCTTCCAGAGGTTCCAGCAAAGAACTTAGCACAAGAGACAGGAACAGACCAAACCATCAAAGGCAAGCCTCTTAGAATCTGCTACTACTTGCTGTTTAATTGTTGCTGAACAGGAAGTAGGGCAATAGACTAAAATGTAAGAGCAGAGCTGGTAAAAAATGTTTCTCTGTGACAGGTTTCTCCACACACACACACTCAAATAATTTACCAAACCTCAGGCACCATTAATAATGTGCTAATTTTGTGCTGCCTGCAGTCTGCTGAGTTGACATATAATAGTACCATTGTTGCAGCTTTCAGGCAGGTGGTCTTGTGTGCTTGTAAATAAATCCACATGGAACTGTTTGTCAGACCCCCTACCACTGCCACATTTCCTTTCCCAAAACTGACACCAACCTCAGTACATTCAAGTTCGTCCCTTATATTGCCAAAGGGTCAGGTTGACTAAATATTTTTTTTTAAAGTGGTTTTCTCAGATGATTTGACATTGTGTGTTAACAGCCTACTGCTGCTGCTGTTGTTAGCTGCCCCCAAGTCTATTGGGACTCATAAAAGACCCGATGTGACCGAGCAGAACTGCCCCATACAGTTCTCTAGGCTGCAATCTTTACAGGAATAGATGACCAAGTCTTTCTCCCGTGGAGCCTCTGTGTGGATTCAAACTGCCAGCCTTTCAATTAGCAGCAGAGAATTTAATGGTTGTGCTATGAGAACTCCTTATAAACAACTTAAATGTTCCATGATATCACTGAGATTCCATTGCATGAAAAAATAATACATTATCACATGAATTGCTTGTAGTTGCTATTACATTTTCTGCAAATGACAGTTTTAATTCAATTCTGACAAAAAGATTTTCAATAAACCCTGGAATCCCAGTATTTTCCATCCATTCTTATAATTATCACCATCATCATCATCATCATCATCATCACACTGGTGCTTGTCCATTTGTCCACTTCTTCCTCCTCCTATTCCCATCCTACTCTGTGCTCTGATTGTTACAGACTTCAATTTCCAGGCTCCCTTTCTATTGGTTTCCTGGCTGTTTATCCAACAGAAGCCTGGACATAGTAGAATGGATATTTCGGCTCCACTCCCTCCTTGTTCTGCCTGCATTTCTATCAGTGGCTGCCTCCCTCCCACCACAGCTCAGGACAGGTGGCTCCTGCTCCAAGAATCCAGCTCTCACTAGCCTCCAGAATGCTATTAACATAGACTAACTGACAACCTATGGGGTTGGCTGGCATTAAAATTCTGAACAGTATGGGCAATAGTAAGTAGATAGGCCACTCAAACTCTCTTTCTCTCTCCCCCCCCCCCAAATATGAAGAAAGAAATGCTAAGGAAATTAGTCAGGAGGTACCAAGAAGAGATACAAGAAAAACCATAAAGAGCAGCAGGCAATAAGAGAGTGGTATGGTCATGGTGACCAAGGACCAGTGACTGGTAACGCAGCAATAAAATAATACATCCCTGAAGCCACTCCTTGGAAAGAAGGTTGGGCGATCTACTTCCCTAGTGATATTGCCTCAGAAACCCAAGGAGGGGTCGCTATGAGTCGTAATTGACTCAACAGCAATGAGTTTGGTTGTTGGTTTTGGAGGCAACTTTTAGCCTGAACAATGCCTATTCTTAGCTCCTCTTGAGAGTTCTATGTCTTCTCACCTGTTTATTCACCAATGACTTAAACAATTGGACACATCTTCCCTGAACCAGACTCATTTGACTGAGTTGACACATCTTCTAGTTTTATAGAAAGAACTCTAAGCTGGCATAAGGAAAATTACCTCCCCATCATTCTTCCTGCATTTACTCTTGACCATCTATCCAAATCAATATTCACATGAAGTCAAGGTGATGTTTCCCAAATGTAAATGTAATTCTATTAACCTCCTTGCTTAAAACCTACAAATGAATTACCATTCTTTGGAGATAGAGTAAAAATTCACTATAATGACTTACAAGTTTCTATGAAATCTAGCTGCCATGCTTTCTCTTCAGCCTCAGCTTGAGCCACACTCCTAGGCCTCTCTGGCCTAACTACACTGGTTTTCTTTCATCTCTCCTCATCATCATACTCCCTCTTGCCTCAGGGTTTGTTGTTGTTGTTGTTGTTGTTATGTGCCGTCGTCATAGCGACCCCTCCTTGGGTTTCTGAGGCAGTATCACTACGGAAGTAGGATTGCCCAACCTTCCTTCCGAGGAGTGGCTGGTGGGTTTGAACCGCCAGCCGTCTGGTTAACAGGCAAGTGTCTTAGCCACTATGCTACCAAAAAGTCAATTTGGATTCACGGTCATGTTGTTAGGAGGAACCATTCCCTGGAGAAGAATATCAGTGCTTGGGAAAGTGGAGGGTCAGTGAAGAAGGGGAAGGCCCTCAACAAGATGGATTGACATAGTGGCTGCAACGATGGGGTCAGGTATAGCAAGGATCATGAGGCTGGCACAAGACTGGGCAGTGTTTTGTTCTGCTGTGCATGGGGTCACTATGAGTCAGAGACAACTTGACGACACCTAACAACAACAACAACAGCAACCCGTGGAACCAAGTAGAACTGTCCCATGGAGTTCTCTAGGCTATATTCTTTATGGGAGCAGATTGCCAGGTCTTTTTCCTGCAGGCCCACTGGAGGGGTTTGAATCGCTGACCTTTCTGTTAGCAGCTGAGTGCCTAACCATTATGCCACGAAAGCCCCTCAGGGTCTACACAAAGGAAATCTTGCAGCCTTAGAAACCGTATGGGGCAGTTCTACTCTGTCCTGTAGGGTTGCTATGAGTCAGAATCTACTTGACAGCAACAGGGTTTCTTTTAACGGGTATTGCTCCTGCCAACAGTACAGTTTTTTTCCTTTCCTCCCACTCATTTTTAACATCACTTCCTGAAAGATGCCCGCCCCCAACTTTCCTGCTTGATGCCAATCTTATAGAATTCCTCTTTCATAATACTGTTCACAGGTGCAATTTTTTGTATGATTACTAATTAACATAAGTTACCCCCAGTAAGCTGCTTATGGTCAGGGTCCATGTGTGATATCTCCAGCACCTTGTCCAGTGCCTAGCCCACAGTACACATACAAATATTTACTAAACAAAGGAATGATTTAATGTCTGTATTTATAACACTGGGAAAGCTCTTTTAAAAGTGCCATTGTATAGTTGCCATGGAATGAATGACAATAGTAACAGTGGGCAAGTGACTATTGCTTAGGAAGGACTGACACACACAACAGGGACCTGGACTATGTGTGGCTGCACACACAGCACCCAGGACCAAGCACTCCGCTCAGAGGGGGGTCCCAGTCCTTCTGCAGCTCCACGATCTACTTTAGCACCTAAGAAAATGCCCAAAAGGTCAGTGGCACTTGACTCTCCTTTACTGAGTTTCATTTAATTTTTGCAGGTATATTTCCAAAGAGTTCATGCCAATAGCTTGATAGCCAAGATGTTGCAAGTGTGGTACCTATTACCTACCCTAACTCAGCTTTAAATTGAATTTAAAAACAAGGGAACTAACTTAACTTTGATTTCAAACTGAAGGAATGTGGTTAACACAAGTGTCTTTGATTGCCTCTTGAGAAATATTTGTAAATCAAAGTTGGCAATGATTGTAATAGTGTAATGTATGTTTTCAAATTGTCTACCACAGAAGGAAATTACTTATCATTCAAATGTGTAAAATTAGGTCTAATAAATGAAAAATGTTATTTCCCTTGTAATTCTATTTAGGGAGATACTTTAGTTCAGAAAACATTTTTTGCACACCTAACAAGTAGTAAGTCCTCTGCTGGGTGGGGGTGGGGGAAGATGGAGAGATAGCATAGCCCTTGCTCTCAAGGGCCTCCCAGAAGAGAGAGGTAACAAAACATGATAACAGAAAATAACACATGCCATGTTGCAAGTGCACATTGTGCAAAATGAAAAGACAACACAGAGGCAGAGAAATTCATCCTATGAAGGAAATGAGAATGGTGCAGAGTTTTACAGGATTAAGATGAACTCACCAGGAAGACAGTAAGAGGCCCAGGGGATCCTAGTACAGCTTCCTAATTTTATAGATAAGAAAGGAGACCCCCCAAAAGAGTTGATCCCTCAGCTAGTTAGTACCAAAACCAGATCTTGAACCCAAAACTTCCTTTTAGGGAATTGTCTACTATATGACCAAGTTCTTACGTTTATTGGCTTTCCCCAATACATATCCATTGAGGGATGAAGTATCAAGCAAAATTTCATTTACTTTTTGTAAGGAGCAAGCTTCATCTCCTTGCCTCCAATCTACCCCTTTCTAATCTCCTCTGATTGTATCAGAAAACAAGTCTGATTTTGTCACTGACTGACTTTCCAAATGCCTTTAAAATAGCAAGCTGAGTTCTTCGTAAGGCCTCAAAGGCTCAGCATGCTCTGGCCCTGGCCCTTGATTTCCACCTCATCTTCCACCACTGTTCCTTCCTTCTCTAGGTCTAGACACACAGTACTTCCTTTGGTTCTTCAATCATGTCTTGCTTTCTCCTACCTCAGTGCCTCAGTATACACTGTTCTTTCTGTTTGGAACACTCTTCCTCCTTTTTTACTTGGCAAATGCCTACTGATATATTAGGCTCAGGTAAAATGTCATTGCCATGACTTTTAGACAGGGTTTATCCCTCTCTGCACTCTGTATATGGTTAGTATCTGTCTTACGCACTAGACCCTAAACCCCTAGAGGGTTGGGAGCACTCGCTGATGCATTCTCACCCATCAAGACAGTACTTAGATTTTTAGATAGGTAGACTAAGCTGCTGCAACACATGGATTTCAAAATCTCAATGGTTTATAAATCAAGAAGTTACATTTTTATTTTCCATGTGACAGCCCAGACTGGCAATGTCAGGTCTGTGGGCAACTCTGTTCCATGCAGCCATGTAGAAACTCAGGCTGAGGGAGGCCCTGCCATCTCCAATATGTGGTTTTCAAAGTGTTTGTGGCAACTGCCACCTTAAACAAAAAAAAAAAAAAACTCACTGCCTTCAAGTAGATTCCAACTCAAGGCAACTCCCATTGGGTTTCCAAGGGTGTAAATCTTAACAGAAGCAGATTGTCCCATATTTCTCTACAGAGCAGCTGGTGGGGGTTCAGACCACTGACCTTCTGGTTAGCAGCCAAATGCTTTAACCACTATACCACCAGTCGGATGAAAGTGGGAAAGAGCATAAATGTGCTTACATGGAAGAAGCTCGCTTTCCTTCCACTCCTATTCCTTTGGAGGTAATTTAGTCACGTGGCCATATAACTGCAAAGAACACTGAGACATGTGGGTTAGTAGGCCAGTCTTTGACCAAGCACTTCTTTATCATGTGGCGAGGGGAGAAAGGATTTTACCAGACAGCTGGCTGCTCCACTAGAGTGCTCAGTAAATATTTACTGAATATAATGTAAATTCATTTTATAACAGATTGGCTCATAAAATAAAGAACATCGCCTATGAGTAATAAGCTCCTTTTAAAAAATCATCTATATGAGGTTAAACAGTCAAAAATTACTCTAAAATGAAAAAGAAAAGGTAAGGGAGCAGGGAAGCTAGAATATTGGAAATGGTACAATTAGTAAAGAACAAATGAGAATAATGACACATTGTGAAAAATGCAACCAACATCAAAGAATAATTTATGTAGAAACTGTTAAATGGGAACCAAATTTGCTGAATAAACTCTCACCTTAAACACAATATTATTTAAATTTTTTAGATTAATTAATTTAAAAATCATTATTTTAAAAATAATCCTTTGTTCTGATAAGAGACAAGGTTGTAGAGGGAGCGAATAGTTGACCTGTGGGCTCAGGACCATAGTCATAGCAGACATCAAGCTCAATTGACATAACATACTACATAAAACATTGTTCCACCTCCTACTTTGCCAAGTAGCAACTGGGATCTTAAAAGGTTGCAAGCAGCCATCTAGATGCAATGATGGGTCTCTCCTTGTCCAGAGAAAAGAAGAATGAAGAAAACCAAAGATTCATGGAAACAATTAGTCCTAGCAACTGGTACACCATGTGATCCACAGCCTATAAGACTTTGACATCAGAAGAACTAGATGGTGCCTGGCTCCTACTGTCAACCACTCGGAGGGGGATCTATGTAGGAGATTCTGGATAAAGAGGGAGAACAATGTGGAACAAAATCATTTGGAAAAAAAAAGGGGGGGGACCAGGCTTGCTGGTCTGATTGAGCCTGGTGGAACCACTGAGACTGTGGCCCCTAGCTGCCCTTCAGGTCTGGAATTGAACCCACACCTGTGGCTTCCAGCCAAACAAAAGACAGGCATAGTAGTTGAACATTTACCTGAGGTAGATACACTCCTTGGAGAGAACAATCATGGAAGAAAGAAGAGCTGTCTATGCACAGGGAGACAGCTCAGGGGCAAGAGTGCATAGAGGGATGGACACAGGGAAGAGGTAACTATCGGGAGGAAGTGGGAGGGGAGCTGTTGCATTGGGGTATTGTAATCAGTGTTATGAGACAAAGTGTATGTGAACTGCTGTATGGAAAGCGAATTTGCTCTGTAAACTTTCACCCAAATCACAGTGAATAAATCAATAAATCAAAATAATGCTTTGTTTCAGATCATGCTATCAACACCCAAACTCATATTATGTTTTGTTCATTTTGTTGGCAGTATTTCAATATCCAAACAACTGGCTTCAATAAAAGGTAAGCAAGCCATGGGGTGACTGGGGCATATGTGCTTCTCTTCAAGCAGGATGGCATGTCAATATTTTTAAATGATGGGGCATGAAACAAAGTTAGGGATATAAGAGAGCTTATAGAGAGCACTGTTGGCACAGTGCCTAAGGCATGTGACTGCTAACCAGAAGGCTGGTGGTTCAAACCCACCAGCCACTCCTCAGAAGGAAGACTGGGCAATCTACTTCCATAGAGATATTGCCTCGGAAACCCAAGGAGGGCTTGCTATGAGTCGGATCAACTCAAAAGTAGTGAAGGTTTTTTTGTAGGTAGATTATCAAAAACATTTATGCCAGTCTTTTTAAAGATTTGGGAACTGAGGTCCAGTGATAGGAATTAGCTTAGTCAGTCTATCACAGCCAGAGCTAGGATGAGAGCATGGATCCCCTGGTTCCCAATTAAGTAATCTTCCCAGGTGTCCAACTGGGCTCTCCATGGGCTGCATCCTCAGTCTGTCCAGAGCAGAACCATGAGTAGATATCTGACACATGAATGCTCAGTGGAACTTAAGATGCAATCAACTCCCGATTGCCTCTGCTGATTGAGCAAAAACACATTATGGCCAATTCCCAAAGTATAAATATTTGCCCTTGCAATTCAATTTTAAGAGTAGTGAAAGAATAACACTGCCATAGAAATAACAATATAAGAAGAGGAAAACACACATACTTGGATCATTATCTTATTCTAAAATGTGTGCCTTAGAATGTTTGCAGAGGAACAAACACATCCATTTTTTTAAAACAGCCAGCAAGATATTATTATTTTGCTATTATTTTTCTTTCCTGGATAGCTGGCTGCCTCTCTAGAAGAGGATTTTTATATTTTTACTTAAACGAAGCTCCATCTTCATGAAAATATTACTATTTTTACACTACAACAACACAATAGACCAATCATACTTTTTTACAATTTATACAATTTCAGGAACTTTGGTAAGTGTTCCATATATTTCTAACACAATCTTTTCCCTTCAAGACAGTTTTGCAGTGGAAATTTTTAAGGCATACTGAAGTACTGGGTTGTCCTTTTGATTATGTTTACTACTCCATCTTCAGAACTAGAACAGACCATTAAGAACCGGTTGGTGTTGAGTCAACTCTGACTCATGGTGAGCCCATGTTTGTCAGAGTAGAACTGTGCTCCATAGGGTTTTCAATGGCTGGATTTGGGGGAGTAGATTGCCAGGCCTTTCTTCCAAGGTGCTTTTGGGTGGACACGAACCTCCAACTTTTCAGTTACCAGGCAAGCACATGAACATTTTACACTACCCAGGGACCTCCAAAACTGGGTAAGAGCCTTCAAATAAATACTCAGTGAATTAATAGCATGTTTAGGAAACCCCACAGCATAAAAACTGAGTGAGGAAATAGCAGGAAAGGGAGACAGGAGCACCTTTTTTACCACTCTCTCCTCCACCCCCATGTCAGAGGCAAGAAAGCTAATAAAAAAAGGCCAAAAGAGAAATATCAATCATCTGAATTTTTAATGGCACTTAGCTCTTTGCAATATGCTTTCATATACATGCTCATAACTCTATGAGGCACACAGAGTAGGAGTTAGGAGCCAACAAGCTAAGTTTATTAAAGGAAGGACCCAACAATTAAAAGAGGAAACCAAACTTTTTGCAAAATATCATCAGTGTTGGTAGGATAGCAGCAGCTCTTTGTTATCTTTTATTTTTAATATTTTCTACTTCTATTTTTACCATGAGCATATGATGTTTATAGTCTGGGAAGGGGATATGCATGCTGTTTTTCAAAAAAAAAAAAAAAAGGGGGGGGGGAGAGAAAGTGGCTAGTCCAGACGGAAAGCCCATCCACAGAGCAGTCAAACCAAAACTTCCTCAGAAGGCTGGAAAATGTCTACAATCAACAGCTTCCATGGGATGCCCTTGAAAGGAGATATTCCAAGGTGGCAGATCTGTTTATGGGCTTTCAAGTCTTTCCTTTGCCACTTCCTACAATGTGACCCTAAGGTTCTTAATCTCTTGGTGCATCATTATCCAATATATAAAATTTAGACACAAATAGTCCCTACCTCCACGGGTTTTACCAAGGATTAAATAAGATTATGATTAGAAGGAGCCTGGCACATAGTAAGCCATGCAAGGAAGATGTCTAACTTTTTTGCACATTTAGTCACTGCTTGAAAATCCACTTCTTCCTCACTAGGAAGGCCTACAAAGGAGAGTAAGTGGCTATTGTCTTCCATGAAAAATCTCAGCCCCAGTAGAGCAGCTTCTACTAAGTGTCTACCTATTCTTGATTAATTATTAAGTTAATTGGCCCAAATTATAAAAGATATATTTACCTCTCAGGAATTAATGAGACTGTGGAGGTTCATGGCAGAATTTTCACCCTCCATGTGGAAAACTTCACCACTTGTCAGTCAGTTTGTTATACTGTGGAAGCTTTCAAGTTGCTGTGATGGTAGAAGTTATGACACCAATATTTCAAATACTAGCAGGGTCACCCATGGTGGACAGGTGTCAATACAGCTTCTAGACTAAGGGAGACTAGAAAGAAGAATGTAGCAGTCTACTTCTGAAAGAAGTGACCACTGAAACTTTAGAAACAGCAGTGAAACACTGTCTGACATAGTACTGAAGATGAGCCCTTCAGGTTGGAAGGTACTCAAAATACAGCTAGGGAAGAGCTGCCTTCTCAATGTAAAGTTGACTTTAATGATGTGGATGTAGTAAAACTTTCAGGATCTTCATTTCCTGATGTGGCAAGACTCAAGATGAGAAGAAATAGCTACAAACCTTAACAACTAGAATGTGAAATGTACAAAGTATGAATCTAGGGAAATTGGAAATCATCAAAAATGAAATGGACCAAATAAAGATCCATATCCTAGGCATTAGTGAGCTGAAATGGACTGGTATTGGACATTTTGAATCAGACAATCATATATATGGTCTACGATGCTGGAAACAACAAATTAAAGAGAAATGGCATTGCATTCACTGCATTCAAGATCTATTCTGAAGAACAATGCTGTCAGTGATAATATCCATATACTTACAAGGAAGGCCTTGACTACATCTGTGGCAAGAGGCGGTGGAAAAGCTCAACATCTTCAGCCAAACCAGGCCAGGAGCTGATTGTGGAACAGACCATCAACTGCTCATATGCAAATTCAACTTGAAGTTAAAGACAATTAAAACAAGTCCAA